AACCGCTCATCCCCAGCCCCACCCCAGAGCAATGATTTCAACCAAGAATGGACATTTTCATTTTCCAAAAAACAAAAATTAATTGAGTTAAGGACCCAAGCAACGCCGGGTAAATCTCCTAGTTAGAAATACAGAGTCAAACCTAGCCACATTACTGTTAGGCAAGGAGGTTTGGGGATTTCCTCCAATGCCTCCCACTCCCATTCTCCATCCACTCTATTGCAGTTTGAATAAATTACCAAAAGAATTGAAACCAGAGTGATTATATTGCATTATAATTGCATTATTTTGCATTATTTTGACAAAACACACAGAATTTTAAAATATTGTGCCCACAATTTTTAACTTTTTGCTGCAGAATTCCCCCAGGAGTAAAATAGGGTGGAAATGCCACGCCACACACAGATTCTTGGCTCTGGACTTTCTGCTGTCTGAATGTTGCAGAGTAGCAACTCCCTGGATTAGCAAAAGTGTGGCCTGCTCTAAAAAGACTGGCAATCTCCCATTCCCTTCATAGGCACCCAGTGGGTATATTCAGTCCCTAGCCCTAGGGATCATAGAACAGCAGCTGATGCTAGTCAGGGAGATGATGAGTTAGAGCACTCTCTGCAGCACCTCATGGCACCCTGTTCAGTTATCAGTCTCTCTTACACCCTACTGCTGAAGAAACTTACTGGATACTGATCACCACATGGGCTAATCACATGGTTTCCGTTTCCCCTCAAACCTCTGAGCGTCATGCCCATGAGGCAAAAGACACTTCCGAGTCAGGCACTGCAGTTCCAGGGGAGCACTTACTTGAGAGAGTTGATCTCCAAGACCAGATTATCACAGGAAATGTTCTCCTCTTCACCTCTCTGCAAGGTGCCCAGAACCTCATTCTGGAAAACTGTCATCAATGCAAGGATAGGCCATTAGACAGGAAAGGGAGAAATCCAGCAAACAGCACCTCTCACTACAGAGAAACTAGCCCCGTGACAAGAGCAGGGACCAGCCTACTAAAAAGCTCCTATTTTGCCCTCCATAACCCAACACACCTACATTTATTCCACCTGTAAATAACAGTAGAGTACGTGTAAAAGTAAAGACCTGTCAGATCCCTTCAATTTCATCACTAGGCACCAGTGCAGGACTGTCCCCTACTGCACCATGTGTTCTTCAGGGTTGCAGGCAGAACTGTTTTAAATGATGCAAGCAACAGGGCTTCCACAACTCCCTTGAGAGGTTATTCCATGGCCTAAGGCCTCATTTATATGGGAAAGTTATACTGGCACAAGCTAGAAGGAATATGAACTCATATGGCCAGGCTGGTGTAACTCTCCAAGTGGATACCCTTAAAGTAGTCACTCATACTATAGTAACAAACTTTTTCCAAGTCTGCAGGTTAAACTGAAAAGGCCACTCATACCAAACTAAAGCCATGTCTTCAAATGGGGAAGATCAACGTTGCTGTGATTGATCTTCTGGAGTTTGATTTAGCAGGTCTAATAAAGATCTGCTAAATCGAACTCAGAAGGCACCCCACCCCTCTTCAGTGCCAGTGCTCCTGTTCCTAGAAAGAAGTAAGGAAAGCCAGTGGGAGTGTTTGCTCCCATTGACCTCCTGCTATGGAGACTGCACAAAAACTCGAATTAAGGTACATCAACAGTTGCTGGAGTTGCACATCTTAATTCTACCTTTCAGGTAAGCATAGATAAGGCCTAAGAGTGCCACATGGGGTATTAACCCAGTGTAACTATATTGGCTTCACTACCAGTAAAACTTCCCCGTGTAGACAGGCCCTGACACATTTTGGGCTTCCTGGGCATGCAGCAGGGGAAGAATGACCACAGCAAGCTGCTATGGAAAGGGAACGGCATCTCAGACAGCCTCAAACAGCCTTTGGTCAGAAAGAGGTAGAGTCCTCAAGCTTCCCACCTGGGCCCCTATGCATGTACTAACCAGACAACAGCAATGAAGAGAATGTAAAAGAATTAAAACAGGAAGATGAGAAATGCCCTTCCTTGGCCTGCCCAACATTCCCTCTCGGCCCCTGCCACTCACCTTTGACGTCATCCAGCTGAGGAGAAGCAGCCCGACTGTCTGGCTGCTCTGAGTCCTGACTCAGGTCACTCTCCGACTCACTCTCTTGTTCTGGATTCAGTGTGGGGCCTGATAGAGACAGGATGATGTAACCTTTAAAGGGGCCCCCTCGAAAGCAGAGGAGCTGCAGTCTTCCCCTGGCTGATGAAGCTGAAATAGTCAGGTTGGAACAAGCTATCCTTGGATGGGATTTGCCACACACAGGCCCAGACATCCATAACCACTGAGTGGGGCTTGCACTAAATTAAAGGAGTTTCATCAGATTCCTAGAGCAGGCAGTTCAGGTCATTGATTAAAGCAAATGCATCCCTCCCGGCCGAACTGTTCCAAGGCGAGCAACGCCAGCAGCATGGGACTCTTACTTGAGGTGGAGCCTTGCAGAGAAACAGATGCAGCGTTGGAGCTGAGCAGTTCTGGTGGAAACTGATCCACACACATGGTCCCCCCACTCACTCCCAGATACAGTGCCTGGAAGGTGACAGGCTGCCTTTGCCATTCTGACACAGATTTGAAATTTGCTATTGGGAGACAACAGGCTGGCAAGAGGCAAGATCTGGGAACATCATTCAAAGAGCATAAGAGGAGTGTTTGGTCCACGCAGTGCATCCATATACACCGTCCTCTCCCCGCAGCTCAACGGGAGACTTCATGCCACCCTATTCCACAATTATAACTGAGACGCCGCAGGCTTTGCGATTCGGCAGCCATGGAATTTGCCACAGGTTCCACCCCTCGTTGTGGAACGTGCTCCAGAATCTCACTGGTTTTTTTTTTCCCCCCTCTTCAATAAAATGTATCTGGACTTCATGGCTGGGAAGAACATTTTTCAAACATGTCCTTAGCAGAACTGAGGAAGTGGCGTCTGTCTGTCAGCATGGGGACAGCCTGGAACAAGTGCTCCAGGGAGGATGGGCTTACCCCATTCAACTGCAGTGTCAGATTTCTAACCCGAGGTTGTTCCCACCACTCCATCTTCTTCAGGGTTCTGCCTAATCTGAGTTCTTGATGTCTCATTAATGGGCTTGGGGAGACTGTCTCAGCCTGGATCAACATGCCACCACCACGGACCTTAGACACCAATTATTATTTGTATTGCTGCAGCACTTAGGAGCCCTAGTGATGGACCAGGATCCCACTGTGCTAGGAGCTGCACAAACTGAACAACAAGGTGATCCCTGTTCCCATTATTAACCTCCCCCCTCAGCAACTCACTGGGATAGTGCACAAGCATTTCCATTCCCAGCAGCCCATAGCAAACTTTTCCTCACCCCAAAGGCTCTGTCTCTGCTCTTCCTCATCGGCTTCACTCCCATCAGCTGCTTTCCAGAGGTAACCTCTACCCTCTGACCCCACTTCGGCTTTGTTATAACCTGAAAGAAGAAGATGGCAGCACTGAGAAGAAAGGAAGGGTATTGGGACAGCCAACTAACCTGGAATTGATTGGCCTCTCATGAGAGAGTGAGGGGGTCAGAATAACCTGCACCAAGCCGTGTCCCAAACACTTAACCCATGGAGGGGACAGGGGCTGACTTTCCCATGCATGCATAGGAGGCACTGTTTTCATTCACCTAGACCAGTAGAAAATCACCAAGCTGTTCTTTCATCTTTCTAGGATGCATTTCATCCCCAGGGCCTGATGAAACACACCCAGGAACACTCAAGGAGCTGACTCAGGAGATATCCGAGGCATTAACTATTATCTTTGAAAAGTCATGGAAGACGGGAGGGATTATAAATATAGTGCCCATTAATAAAAAGGAAATAAAGAAAACCCAGGGAATTACAGACCAGTCAGTTTAACTTCTCTAACTGCAAAGATAATGGAGCAAATAATTAAGCAATCCATTTGCAAACATCTCGAAAATAGTAAGGTGATAAACAAGTCAGCATGAATTTGTTAAGAACAAAATGTCAAACCAACCTGATAGCTTTCTTTGACAGAGTAATGAGCCCACAGAGCACAGGGAGAGGGGACAGAAAGGGAAAGGAGGGGACTGAGCCGTCAGAGCACGGGGAGAGGAGATGGAAGGGGCTGAGCCCCAGAGTACCAGGGTGGAAGCAGAGCTCCCCCCTGAGCCGGGATGGGCAGCTCTTTCCCACTGCCCCCGAGCGGGCAAGAACCTTGCAGTTTTTACTAGTGGAAACACACTACATTTAAGACCAAAAAGACAAATATATAAACATTTTAAAAAGACAATTTTTCTAAAAGTGCACCAAAAATAAAGTTTTCAGCTAGCAATTTAGGAGACAGATTGGATGGCTAAGTACGACTCAAGGTAGTTGCTAACTGTTAGCCATCCAATCTGTCTCCTAAATTGTTAGCTGAAAACTTCATTTTTAGTTTTTGCAGCACTTTTAGAAAAATTGACTTTTTAAAAAGTTTTATTTATATATAGATATAGATATAAAGAGAGAGAGAGAGAGAGAGAGAGAGAGAGAGAGAGAGAGAAAGTGTATACACACACATACAGGGCTCGCCAGCTGCGTGGTTTTGCACATGCGCAGATCGCTCTGCGTCGGCTCTTCCGGGGTGTAATCTACTCTCCACGGGCAAGTAGATTACATTGTGTGTGTGTACACACACATATACAGGGCGAGAGAGAGATTGAGATTTTTAAGAGCAGGTTAGACAGACACCTGTCGGGAATGATCTACACGGTGCTTAGTCACGCTGTGGGGCAGGGGACTGAACTTGATGACTTTGAGGCCCCTTCCAGTCCTACGATTCTATGACCTTGTCCTGCAGCAGAATGGCCTGACTGTCTTGATACACTGACTCGCACTCTGAATACTACCCAAGTGGGGACTGACAGAACAAATATCCCATGGTGGGGGAGGATTAAGATCCAGGTACTCCCTGAGGTGCCGTGGGAGAGAACTGAGGGTCAGAGGTCTTGGCATCTGTCCTGAATTGGATGACAGTTCAAACTGTAGCCTGTGATCTGTACAGCGCTCTCACCCCAAGACAACGTCAAAACTGGAGACTGGGTGCTGGAGAGGGCTGGTAGTCACTGGATATTTGACTTTACTATCAGGCTGTTACACTGGGATATCCCACTTTCCCTATTAAAAGGGCACAGATGCCAAGCTTAATGTAAGACTTTAGCTACCAGCTTTGCATTTCACCAAACTGGGAACACAGGATTGTCCCAGAGGGCGAAGACTCACAAAGGACAGAGCTCAAGGAAAGCTCATTTACCTTTCAGCTTCACTTTGCTCTCCTCCTTGTTCACTCCAGAATCGTCACTGAACTCATCGTCGTCCTCCTCTTCCTCATCTGGTGAGTGCAGTGAGATCACGGTGCCTTCCAGGAGCACGATGTCAGGACCCACCACCACCTACAAACAAAGGACTTACACATCTTGGCACAGAACAGAAGCACAGCTCCCTCTGCTGCCACCTCCCATTTCCCCCTCAGGAGCCAAGCTCTGCCTCAAACACTATTAGCGATGTCCAGGCATGTAGCCTGCTAAATAAACAAATCTCCTGCCCTGCAGAAGGGACAAGGCAGGGGCAGCAGCCTATGCCCTATCCAGAATAAAGGTCCTTTCAGCTGGGTATATTCAATGAGCCACAGTCTAGTAGCTCTCCAAGGACATGCGGAGAACTGCATGGACTCAGAAGCAGCTCACCTGGGAAGTCAGAACACAGTGAGGATTTAATATGGCCCCCTCCTTCACTTCAGCCTCATCGCAGACAATCGACTGCTGGATCTTCACACGGTCTGCTACATGGACTCCGTTCCAGAGGAATGCTCCATCCAGGATAACATCATCCCCTGTTGAATGGCACCACAAAGCCGCTGAGCAGGGCAGAGCGCAGCTCTCACCCCATGCTTCACTGGCAGTGTCACAACACTGAATGCCCCAGAGAATATCCAACTCATTCGCCCCAGGACGAGAGAATACACCTGTGGCTCAGAGGAGGTTAGATGCGGTGGCAAAGCCAGCCTCTGATTTCAGCAGCCACTTCGACTAAGCCAGGGAAGAAAAACTGAGTTAAGGTTTCTGTGGACATTCAGCAAATGCTGCAGTAACTGCAGGCCTCCCACTTACAGTAATGTGGCAAAATGGGGAAAAATGATAAACAATGGAGCTTTATTCAAGACTATGAAGCAGGAGCACTCTGAGATTCATGGGGATGAGCAGTGGATACAAAGATTTTCACCTCTATACTGGTCTGAGACAAGCCCAGTAAATGATTGTCTTAACGTACATACCCATGGACCGCTCTTTCTTTTTCCTGGGTGCCAACTGCCCTCCCTCTCACTCGGCTTGCACTCCTCAATACACTCCCTGCTGCAGCATTAGCCTCCTGCCCAAAGGCCTGGACCCATTTCAAAATTCAGCACTCAAGACTGTACAATAGACATAAGCTAACTACTTGTCACTCCCTCCTCCACTCTGGTTTCCCCCATTTCACCCTCTGCCTCCCGCTCCTCCCCTCCCACAAAAGGCATCTTGGATTAGAGCTGAACTCACTCTAATTCCAACCACCGGCCAGTATCCGCTCCCCACCTTTCCCGCGGACGGCACTTACCTATTTTGCAGTTCTGACCGATGACGCTGTTGGTAATGGAGCAGTTGCTGCCAATGACCGTCCCCTGCCCAATGAGGACATTCTCGTCCAGCACGCTGCCTTGGCCCAGGCTCACCTCTGCCCCGCGGTAGATGTTGTGTTTGGAATGGGTATAGCTCTGTGTTGCATCATCGGTGAAGTTCATCTCTGGGGTCAGCGGATAAACCCAGCGCCGGATGATGTCAGAGCACACGGCCTCGTACATCAGCAGGTTAGACACGCGGGCACCATACTCCTCTGTTGTCACATGCATATGGATCTGGTTCCCCAGGACCTGGGCAACAGACAAGCATGTCAAGGGACTCTTTGCAGAGGAAGGCTGCCTGAACCTGAGCATGGCTTACCCCATGTCACGTCACCCACACACTTCCCCATAACGACCCACCCCTCGCGTCCATACAGATGCCTCTTCTACCATATTCACTAAACAGCCTTCTGAGGCACTAAGGGCCTTGTCTTCATGACACTCACACCCCAATGACCTGAATCACACCCCAAACATTCCCAGCCTCCAGCCTTCCAAATGCATTACAGGCCAGAGCCACCGTCACCTCAGCGGCTTTAGGAAAGGCATCTCATTTGCATAAGCCTACTCATTTGGTTCCCAGTCCAGAACCAACATGAGTATCCAGGACTGGAATACAAGGGGATGCGTCAGGTCAGAGTGATGGACACTGGCAGAGCTCTGTGCAGGTCACTAGCATACATCTGTTGACATGCCGCCTCTAGCCAAGACTTTCAGACCCCTGCATTGGCTTTAATTCAACCAAACGAAGTCTGGAAAGGTGAAAGGTCAAATGCAATAAAGTGTTGCTAGATTGGTACTATGGTAGTACTCAAGGGCCCAAACAGGCTCACAACCCCACTGTGATGTGAGCTGTCAAACTCTAGAGACAGTCCTTGATCTGAAGAGCAGAATGTAAAACACAGGCGGCGAACCTCCAGCCCATGGATCACATGTGGTTTGTCAGGATTAGCTGCTGGCGCGTCACCAGTTTACCTACCTGCCTGTCCACAGGCTCGACTGCTCCCAGTGGCTGAGGTTCGCTGGTCCTTGCCAACAGGAGATGCGAGAAGTGGTGCCGCAGCTCCCATTGACTAGGGATGTACAATCCCGTGCAATTGGCTAACTAGTTAAATGTAGGGTTTATCTAGTTAACTGAGAAAAGGGGAGGCAGGCAGGGTGGGAGGGACACTCCAGTCCAGGTCCAGGCTGGGGCGGCCCACCCACCACAACCAGGGACTGCCCCTGCCCAGCCAGGGCAGCCCCCGCCCGCGGTGATGGGGCCAGTAGGCAGGGGTTGCTGCGTGGGAGACAGAGTGCTGGAGCGGCTGCTCCTGGATACTGGTTAATTCTGTTACCCATTCACATCCTTACCATTGACCGGGATTAGCAAACCACAGCCACTGGGAGCTGCAGGGCTCAGTGACTGTGGAAGCTCAGATAAATAAACCATCTGGGGGCCTGCGAGTGGCTAACCCTGATGAACTGCGGGCGGCCGACGTGCCAGAGGTTCCCCATCCTGATGTTAAACATGGCACCATGATCCTGGAGCAGCAAAGGCCGTGTCAGTTTCTAATTTAACAAGTCTTCAGCCTTCATATTTCCTATTCTTCTGCATATAAACTAACCCAAGAGCGGAGAGAAGGTGCTGCTGTGAATCTCAGGAGAGCTAGTTCCTAGTTTAACAGAAATTGTTCCCAGCTCCCCAAGAACCAACAATGCCTATCACAATTTAGAGTATGTGCCCAGTTACTGCCCAGCAAGCACAACCGGCTGCACTGACACAGAAACATCTCACCCCCGGCAGCACACGAAGAAGGTGCCAGTCACCCACTAAAGAGACAAAGTGAAAAGCCAAAGGCCTCTCGGATCAAACATAAGTGGCTCTCGCACAACACCCCTCCTTACCTCTTCATTCACCAGCAGGCCACGTACAAAGTCATCCCGAGTCTGATAATCAAAGTTATCTGTGAACAGCTCGGCCACCTGGAGACAACGTGACAATGTGAGGCCAAAACACAGAGGACACTGGCAGGACTGTTCAGTTGTTAACACCGACCAGCTGCTCTTAGGGAGCTTATCAAAGTACAACACAGGAAGACAGTGCTCTCATCCTTTTCCTGTTGGCATGAGAAAGGCTTGATCTCTTGCACGGGAGGTGTTGGGACTTCCCATCTCCTCCCACAGTCAATCTGTGGAACTCCTTGCCAGAGGATGCAGCGAAGGCTAGAACTTCAACAGGGTTCAAAAAGGAGCTAGATAGATTCGTGGAGGTTAGGTCCATCAATGGCTATTAGCCAGGATGGGTAGGAATGGTGTCCCTAGTCTCTGTTTCTCTGGAGGTTGGTGACGGGGGGGATCACATGAGGATTACCTGTTGTGATCCCTCCCTCTGGGGCATCTGGTATTGGCCGCTGTGAGCAGACAGGATACTGGGCTAGATGGACCTTTGGTCTGACCCAATACGGCCGTTCTTATGTTCTTGCACAGTGAAGGGTGGGATATTCATTCCAGCTGGCAGACCGGTGTAGCTTTGTAATTTTGCTGACGGTGAAAGACTGAAGAGCAGCAGCAGAACAATTCCCAAGTCTAGTGCATGGCAAGGAATGCCCTGGACATTACTCCCAACAAGGGACAGCCAGCAAGAACTGACACTTCACTTGGTCCCCTGCCTCCAGGCATCAGAGGTGGCACCTCTGCTGTTGCAGCCTGTAACAAGCTCTGCAAGATCCCTTACTTTTCATTGGGCTTAATCTCGGACTAGTTCCTCCATTCATCTCAGACATGGACACACACACAGGCCCTTCCTGTCTGACCTGTTTCTTCAGCAAGAGACCAGTTGCTGAAAGGGCAGGGGCAGCCCGAGAAAACATCGTGCTTCCTGTGTCCATGACATGCTCCATGCAAAGTCACATGGAACGGGACAGGGGCTAGGGATGGTAAGCAGGTAATTTGCTAACTGTGTAGTTGATAGAATTTTTATCAACTACACGATAAGTCGATAAGGGAAATTAAAGCGCTGAGTCCCGGCTCATGCCAGGCCCAGGAGCTACCCCTGCTGCCTGCCCACTTGGCTCTTACCACATTTAAAATGCAGAGCTGTAGCAGGAGTAGGTCCCGGATCCTGGGACTGTACTGGGCTGCCTGCCTGCCTCCCACTCCATTTTAAATGCAGAGCCACAGCGGGGGTAGGTCCCCTCCTGCAGCTCTGCATGTAGTCAATAGCATTAACTGGTAAGCTTTTGCTTATCAGTTAACTGACTAATCAACAACACTATTACAACCCTAACCAGGGCTCTGGAATGGACTCTACTCCACAGCAATGCAATGAGCTTCTGCCATGTGAGCATCACTAAACCAGCAACTCAGAACACCTCCAGAACGACAGCAACTCACCTGCGGGGCGCAGATGCTGATATGGCAGTCCAGCAAGTCGTGGCGCACCTCAACCGTCTCTATATTGCTCTGGAACAAGCTCTGGAAAGAGGAGAGAACACAGTACAGCTTGAGTGCTTCTTATGTAGGAGTCAATCCAGAACAATCCTGCACCAGCTAAGGACAAAATACTAAGAACGCACTTCAGTTGGTTGGAAACCTGGAAGACATCCCACGAGTTACAATATCCAGGCTAAGTACACCAGCCGGACACACCACACAGAGCAACAATACTTAACGTGTGTAAAATGGTCACACACAACAACATGTGCCAACCAGAAAAGATTTCAACCCAGAGGTATTCCCACATGGAAAAATCTCTCCAAAAGCTAGATTAGGTTAGAAACAGGGTCACACCTTTCCAAGTGGCAGAAAGCTCTCTACTGACTGGGATTTACAAATGGAATGCAAAGTGTAATAAATGAAAATGCATTTACAGTTTTAAAACATGAGGATTTGAGCTTCAAGATCATGACCTACTCCTCACTTGCAGTGATTTAAAAAGAGAACACATGACCCAGAGGAGGGAATTAGTCTGGGAATGACCCATTTTTATTACTTTTGGGAGGACTGTGACACATTCAACAAGGGGTAATGGGAAAATAATTGACGACCCCCAAGCCATTAGAGAAGGTGCACTGATAGTCACCTCACTGGCCACCAGACAACAGTCTGAATCATCTGTTTATCCCTTGTTACACACACAGAGTCCTAAGCGCAGATGTTACATTAACTAATTAATTAATTAAAACTGAATTTTGAGGAAAAAGTTTGAGTCCTGTTAGGGATGGTGGGAATCAATCCCCCATTCTCAAAAACTCGAGGTAACTTCAGGGCATACGCCTCCATGGTGGTACCATTCCACATGCTTTGCAGTCCTTGTCTACACTCCCACAGGCTGTCAACCTAAGTTACGCAACTTCAGCTCTATGAATAATGTAGCTGAAGTAGACGTACTTAGATCTACTTACTGCAATGTCTTCACTACAATAAGTTGACAGCTTATTCTCTCCCATCAGCGCTGCTTACTCTTCTCCTTATGGGAGGTGACAGAGGCGCGCTCAGCAGTAGATTTATCGTGGCTGCACTAGACACAATAAATCAACTCCCACTGGATCGATTGTTGCCCACCAATTTAGACTGTAGTGATGACGTGCCCACAGAAGAGGCCAGCGGCCACATTGGAAGGTGTAAGCTTCAAAAGCTACTTCCCGCCATCTCTTTTTCAATGGGAGTTGTAAAGAACACACCCCTCTCCCTAGACTTTTCTTTTGGGCCGCTTGACCACATTAGCAGCTTTTCACTGGCCACATCTCTGCACGTACCATGGGAAAACGAAAGCGCTTCAGCCCCTGAGTTCTTTGGTAGTGCAAGACACGGTTCGTGGTGCTGTCCATAGCAAGGATGATGTCATCCTCCTGACACCTAGCATGGTGACCTGGTGAGGACGCCTTGAAAATCATCGTCATCACAGACACGTTCTTCTCCAGCTTACGGCGCTTCCTAAACAGGAAAGGAAGAGCTTTAAACAATGTCTCTGAAAAAGAAACAGCAGTGAGCTTGAGAAAGCCAGGCTGGTCCACCTTTGCCCCAGGCACCCACCTGTGCTCCTCCAGAGCTGCAGAAACGTTGATATTGGACACCACATCTCCAGAGACGAGGAGGAAGTCAGAACGGACAAGGGACTTGGCATCGACGTCCCTTAGCACATCGCCAAGCGAACGGTACAGGTCTGAGGTCATAATGCGCACCTTATTGGGAGAGGTACGGCGGCACCATTTGGACTTACTAGAGGGGAAGAAAACAGATAAAGAATGAAAGGGTTATCTTCTAGCTTAGGCTAGAACATGGTGCTCCAGCGTAGGGGGATTTCGGTCCACACATTTACGAACCAACTATGTTACGCTCTCTGGCCCACTGTCACATATAAATACAGCAGGGGTGGGGAACCTTGCTTGGATCCGGCCCGAAGCTCAGCACTGGCAAGCCCGCGCTGGTGCTCCAGCCCCCCAGCCACTCATCCGCAGGGCTGGAGCACACAGAATCTACTAGCCTTGGCCCCTTTAGGCTCTGGTGTCCAAAGGGAACGTGGGGAGTGTCTTTCACCCTCTCAGTCAGGGGCTTCTACTTTGCTTCTCACTTGTGTGCGGCCCCCAACTGATTTTTCGGTGGGTCAGCGGCCCCTGAGCCAAAAAGGGTTTCCCACCCTTAAAGTACAGGTATTATTGTCAGGGCTTGATGAACGGCGGCGAAAACTGCTCCCCAGCCCCGTACCGCGCATGCACAAGAGCCGCAATGCGCATGCACGCGCCACGAATGAACAGGGCGCGCGGCTGAAATCTACTCGCCACGGGGGAGTAGATTGTATTGTTTGTCAAGCCCTGATTATTGTAGCAGAGACAAAAGAGAGTAATGCTCTGAGACTGTAGCTTAAAGGACACTGACTTCCTTGTGGGCAAGACGTAGTGTGCGGATTCGTGAAAGGTACCAAGCATTTATGCAAACCCAAAATTTAACCTGTGGGCAACAGCGGAGAGATGATGCTTTATATTCCACTTGGGCGCACAAGCCTACAGATTATGAAAGCTAAGATCACTGTGTAGCAGAGAGCTAGCCCCAGCCTGACAAGTGCACTTCAGAGTGTTACAGAGCAAGGGCATTCACTCCTCAGAGAGCCAGTAGCTTAAGGAACATCAGGTACACAATGTTCATAAATATCTAGCCAGGAAAGATCTGTCTTTAAATACAACCAAGACAGTGAAGACCATCACCTATGCAGTCCACAGAGAGACAACAGTGCTACCCACATCCTGCTCACTAAAGGAAAGAATTTTCTCTCTTCACACCTTATTTACCTTGGTGCTTTCTCAGCTATTAGCAAAAGCTGGTGAATAAGGACATGCCGTACATAAGCTCTCAGCACCAGCAGAAATTTCTAAGGATACATTGTTCAAATTGTCCTCTTGGGACAATACTGGGAGTATCATCCAGCTTTCATTAGCCACAGGAGTCACTGTGATATAAGATCTTGGAAACATTCCTTTACAGTAAGCCTCAAAAGAAGATGAGGTGTTCCTTACAGTAAATGCTCCTTTATCTCCACCGACTTCCAGCAGCAGAAGACAAAGGTTTCTTCTACTCCAGTTGCAGTTAGGAACTCCAAAGTGTAGTCTATCATGGCCACATTTGCGAGAGGAAGGAGAACCTAGGGAGACAGGACAGAGTTAGCTGAACCGACACTGTACACCAAATAAGGCCAGCCACAAACCAGATGCAGGAAAGACTCAGCAGTGCCAGAGTAAGACAGTCATGACTCCACGTCTCACGCTCTAACCATCAGAAAAAATGTCAGACATGAGGGATGAAACCACAGGAACAAAGTAATAAAAAAAAAATTAAAGAGACTCACACAACATTTATGAAGGGAATGTGAATACATTCTGCAAACTGGAGAGTCAAGTGTCTCCTTGACAGTAATTTACAACTGCAGGTCACGTATGAATTTTTTTGTAGCTCTCATTTTCAAAAAGCATTTTTTCCCTCACATTAAAAATTGTTCCTTTCTGGCTTTCAGCCAGTGAACAACTGCGAATCGTGTAATCATGATTTGCCATTAGGGATGTAAAATTCCATGTAATTGGGATTACTTCACGTTTAACCGGTTATCTCTGGTAGAAAACACTGATTGGGGTAGGGTGCTCCAGCCCAGCTTGGCTGGAGTGCCTTCCCACCCCGGCCTGGTTGGAGTGGCCCACCGCCGCAGATAGGGGCTGCGTCAGCCTGGCTGGAGCAACCCCTGCCTGTGCCTCTCCCCCTAACCCGGTCCACTGAGGACAGCGGCAGCTCCAGATGCCCAGAACTGCTCCAGCCCCCACCAGTTAACTTTTCACATCCCTAATTGCCATGAATATTTATTCCATATTTGTTCAACCCCAAACCCAGCGGGATAGCTATTTCCTATTGCACTAGAGCCTCGGGCCGTCAAAGTGCTCTTCTCTCATTTGCTCATAATTTCATGGGAAACATTGCCCCAGCTCTAAGCACGGCCTTGGCCTCTTCCCCATCTACCAAAAAGATATTTGTCCCTCCCCCGAGAGGGGCAGCTGCAGTAAAATTCCTATCATCAAATGAAAAGCAAACAGTACTTATGCTCGCTACTCCCCAGTGCTTTGACTGCTGTAGTTTAGATTTCTGGTTTATTTTTCTTCATTGTGGGGAAAAACACCCAAAACATTCCCACAGAAATAGCTGGTATGTATATGCTGATATAGAGTCAAAATCTTTTCACACTCTCCCCCTATTTACAACTTACTGTAATTCCCCAGTGTCTAGACTTTTATGAGCAATATCGTTCCCTCAAATGAAGCACTCTCTTTCATTCACACCCAGGAGAGGCAGCACAAGATAAGAAAACAGAAGGCGTTATTGCATTCAAAATATTCCCTCCTAACTGCACGTAGAGCACAATGTCATATATATTAGCTATTACTGTCACCCTCGTCTTCTCACCCCTTCCCACTGTGTGTTCTACCAACTTGTTGTTTCTTGTCCCTAGATAAACTATTAAGAGCTCTGAGGCAGCAACTATTACATGTTTGTACCCAGCACCATGGGAGTTGTTCCGTAACTGAGACCTCGACATACTACTGTAATATAAATAAGACTATTTAGAACAGCATCAGTGCTGAGTTTTCCATTCTCTAGCCATCCCCTTTCAACAATTCAGAAGCTAGCATACATACTGAACCTCTCCAGTCCAGCACTCTGGAGACCTGACCGGTGCCAAACCAGAAAGTTTGACAAACTACGGAAGGTCAATATTGCCTAACAGCATTACCGACACTCCCACTGTTTACTGGGCTCTTGGAAGACATTTAGGAGTAAATTAGAGCTAAATAACAGCAGAGATTATTTGATCTGAGGAAGTGGGTCTGGCCCACAAAAGCTCATCACCTAATAAACCATCTTGTTAGTCTTTAAAGTGCTACATAGTCCTGTTTTTTGTTTCAGCAGAGATCACTGAGAGCCAGACTGGTGGCCTAGGCTTATCAGTTCATCTAATCTATTACATGCATTGTCCCCCTTGCCTCCTCTGTATCAGAGGCAGCAAGGGGGGTGAGGCAGGAGCTGGTGCCGTGGGGAGCCAGCTTTTAAGCCAGCTCCCCACAAGCACTGGACCTGTAGATCCACCTGCTCCCCAACCTCCGCACTGCTGCCTCTGATAAGAGAGGCAGCAACGCGTAAGGTGTGGGGAGCAGGCAGGAGCCAGTACACACGGGAAGCAGGCTTTCAAGCCAGCTCCCCACGTGTATCGGCTTATACGAGTCACATAGCCCCCTCTCCCGCTGTCCCTGTATCAGAGACAGCAGTGCAAGGTGACAGGTGTGGATTGGTCTGCACGGGGAGCCAGTTTTTAAACCAGCACCCCTCATGGACCAGCTCCACATGCCATCCTGTGCTGCTGCCAGGTGTGGGGCTGGACTGCACTGGCTGCCAGACCTACTCCCCAGGGACTATCAAACAGTCATGTAACCGATAATAATTTGTGCAGTTACATGACTATTCAATTAATCATTATCTAACTAGAGAGGGCAATTGTGTAGTCAACTACACAATTAACCGATAAGCCTGAGTAGGCAGGAGCAGGGAGCTGGCTTTTAAGTAGGCCCTTTGCATGTGCCGGCTTCCGTGGAACCTCCTCCCCACCACCTCCTACAGGGGGGGGGGAGGGGAGGGAGAGGTCAAGCGGGAGCGAATGCTCGGGGGGCAGGAGGAGAGCTTAAAATTAAAAGCCATCTCCCCATGAGCATTGGCTCCCTTGACACTGCCTCCCCACCCCTTACACTGTAGCCTCTGATGGGGGAGGAGGGAGAGGAAAGCCGATATATGCAGGAAGTGGCTTTCAAGCAGGCTCCCCTGCATATTGGGTCCCACCTGGCCCCCCCATCTGTAGCAGCTAAAATTTCAAGCAGTTACACATTTACACAAATACTCGATAGTTAACATCCCTAGAGATACGTGGACATCTGGCTAATTAAAAACATGCCAGACCATGGATGTTGCTGGACCAGAGTATGCTGGACTAGAGAGGTTCAACCTGTGTAGTGGAAACCTTCACCATAATCACTCTCCTTTCTCCTTTCGAGTTGATATGGAAAAAGAGGGAGCAACGTGTCATTGGTCACGTTAACATCTGGACTCGCCTTAGACTGACTCATTCAAGAGCGTCCTCCATAAAATGATTTTACAAGACTTCGTGTCTTTGTGTGCTTTACAAGTTTCTTTCCTCTCAAGGAGTTTCTTGCAGTACTTGGGTACTTTGCTTCTTAATCTAGTTCAATTCCTATGTAAGAATTTTAAAAAGAAATTCAGATTCAACAAGTATAAAGCCAGAAGGATCATCTAGTCTCACCTCCTACACAAATTAAATTTCACCCAGTGACTCCTATATTAATCCCAACAACATGCGTATGGCTAAAGCAAGTCTTCCAAAAAGGATCCAGTCTTGCTTTTAAGACACGGAGAAATGAGGAATCCACCACTTCCCTTGGTCGTTTGTTCCAATAGTTTATTACCCTTGTTGTTAATATGAGCTTTATTTCTCATTTTAATTTCTCTTGCTTTAACTTCCAGCCATTGGTTCATGTTCTGTTTTTCTCCTCTATATGAAAAAGCCCTATGAACGTGCTTATATGCTGTAATCAAGGCACCTTTCAGCTTTTTTTATAACAACTTCAATAAACTAAAAATGTCTCCCACAGATTTCAACAACTCTTTCAACCATATTTTCTTGTTGGAAGCTATCACAAAAACTTTCACCTCCAAGACCAAGGATGTTAAGTATCAACTAACTGACCCACCTTTGAAGTGTAGCAAGGGCTATTGCTATACTCCAAAGGCAAAAGTGCTGTGTAGGGCCCGGGAGTCCCCAGCTGATCCCAGGCTACATGCGGCACTGCCACTTTGAAACACCACGAGGAGCCTGATGCCAGGCTCCCCATGCGTTTCAAAGCAGCAGCACCGCATGGAACCCCGGGGTCAGTAGGGAGTCCCCAGATGATCCCAGGCTTCATGCGGCGCTGTCGCTTTGAAATGCTGCGTGCAGCCTGGGGACCCCCCCACCTGGCCCTGGGCTGCATCTAGTGTTGGCATTTCAAAGCGGCAGTGCTGTGCGGAGCCCAGGCTCTGGCCCCAGGCTCCAAGCAACATTGCCTCTTTTAAGTACCCTTCTTCACGCCCCCCTTCTGCCTCTTTCTGATAGAGGCAGCAAAGTGTGTGTGGGGGGGAGGAGTGACTAGTTGACAAGCCTGTTGACTAGTACTTCATATCCCTATCGAAGACCTGTCTCTCAACCAGAAGGATCACATGGGAGCGAATAATACAATGTTTTGTATAGCGAAACCTCTCCAGAAATCTGAGCCTGGCCACTCTCAGCACATGATTCAACATCTCTTTATTCAGCTGTTTTATTAACTACAAATTATAGTATAGCATTGGCAATTAGCGCATAGATTCTAATTTCTTCTTCTAGTCAAGCCTGTTATGTTTGTTATTAGAGATGCAGATGAGTATTCTCTGTTCTGAAGACCTATTCTCTTGAACTAATTTATTTAAGAAACAGCCAGAGGATGGTGTGCGCTTTATATGTGTCTCCCACCACAGCTGCCACTCTCAGGGAATACCACAAATACCTCTTAGGCTGCTGAAAAGCTTTAGGAATAACTCACTACCCTTCCCCAGAGGTGCTACAGCAGTATAATTAGCCCCCATTTTACAGACAGGGAAGTTGAGGCTCGGATTGCAAAAGGGACTTGGCCCAGGTTCCACAGTGAAGCAAGGACAGAGCTAGGAACAAAACCCAGCTGCCCTCTGATCCCCTGCAGAGCTTTGGGACTTTCAGAATGATTCCGCCCCACACTCAGAGAGAGGATCGCGGGCTGAGGCAGCACTTAGAAAGAAGCCAGGAGGTGGCAGGTGGGGTCTCTCCCAGGGGGATCTAGGGGTCCTACCCGGTCTCTGTTCGTAGGAAGGCGGAAAGGGGAAGGGGGGGGGAGTCCCGGTCTGTCCAGCTGGGGCAGGTCCCAGCTGCTTTCTCTGGCGGGGGGCGGGGGGAAGTCTGAGTGTCTCTGGAGGGGAGGTAGGTCGGTCCCGGACGCTCCGGCGGGGGGAGGGGTCCCGGTCTCTCCGCCGGGCGCAGAGGGATCCAGGGCGATCTCTCCGGGGGCGGGGCAGGGTCCCGGCCGGTGCCTCACCCGGGGCCGGTCCTTGGAGATGGGGAAGAAGCGGCGGTTGAAGCTGTCCGCCCCCAGCACGGCCTGCAGCGGGGGTGGCGGCTCCTCCTGCGGGTCCGGCCCCCGGGCTCCCCCCGACCCGGCTCCCCGCCTCCCAGAGCCCCGGGCCGCCATGATCGGCCTCCTGGCTCACGCACGCGGCCCCTCCGCCGCATCCTCTTCCGGGTCGCCGCGGCTTCGCCCGCCCACCATCCCATGTTTTCAAATAGACCGGAAGGAGACGGCGCCTCGGCGAGGACACACCAATGCGAAGGGGGTGTCCTTGACACGCATGCGCGCGGCGCGGCCCACCAATAAGAAAACTGGCGTGGCACGTGCGCTCCGTAAGCGGCTGCTCCCTGCGCTGGAGCAGCACGTGGGCCGGGGCGCGTTGTAATCCCGTTGCTGGTGGAATCCTCCAGCGCAGCCCCGCTAAGGCTGCCCAGGCCGGGCCCTGCTGGCTGCCTGCAGAGCTACCCCGTGCAACCTGGAGCCCAGCCGGTCCCTGCCAAGGGAGCATTTGATTTGCATCCATTACCCCTCTGGTGCCTTTTTTGGGGAACCAGCAATTGCAGTGTTGGCAGCGCTCCAGATTTTCACCTGCGTCTTCTGCTCATTCTTGTTTATTGACTGTCCCAGCTCCCAGGGTCAAGTGCGCGGGTGAGGACTTTTTTTTTGACTTCCTTTTTAAAGGAGACGTTTCTAGCCATGTGGCTGTGGAGAAAGCTTCGAAGTGTACAAGCTTCTAAGTCTCCCCCAGCACAACCTAAAAACAAAAAAACCCCACCGCAGGCAAGAACACCGGGTCTATTATTTTTACAAAATGTCGTGGGTTTTTTGGTAAAACTGGATCATGATTTTTTTGAACATTTGGGATTGGAGATGCTGTTACCACCATGCAGAAGGAGGCGGAGCTTGATGTGCTGGGCTGTGAAATGCAAACTGTATTGCCACTAGAATAGTGATCGAAATGCAGCCGTGTTAGTCTGGTGTAGCTGGAACAAAAAACAGGACTCTGATGGGAAAAGGATTGGCTAGAACTAAAGGTGTGTTCACAGTGCATAGGCACAGACAGCATGTAGTGAGGCAGGCACCTGTCTGTGTGTCTATCTATAAAAGTTTTTCCTGCTGGATGACAGAATGTCATCATGATCTTTGGCTGTCGTGTAGTGAGCAATGGGCTCAGCCCTCTAGTGGACTTGTAATGGTGTACATCGGCACTAACTTTGCCTCTGGCTAGGAGGTGCTTGATTCCCCTCCTTCTGAACCAGGCCCCACCCCACACTCCATCCCTTTCCCAAGACTCCATTCCTGCT